TGCTCATACAGGGAACATGGATTCAGACTGTAAATTCAAGAAAGAAAGCTCCCTCTCTCTCTTCCTCTCTTCCCCACTTCCCCTTCCTCTCTTCCTCCTTCCATTCTCCTATTCTGCCCCATTGTCTCTCCCATTCCCCCTCCATCTCATCTTCTTTCCTCCCCCAGTGGTGACAAGTTAGCATTTGATGTCTAGAAAGGACATATGCTAAAGACAAAAGAAAATATTTTTTTTCAAAGTTTGCTTATTTTTCTTTCTGGGCAAAAGTTTTTTACACAAGCACAAACTGAGGCAACACTGGGCTTTGTGACATCCTTGAGTGGATGTGACTGACTCAGTCCTTTTGGAGGAGAATTTATAAGAATGTGCCTTGCCTACACCCTGCTCCTTTTCCAGGGAAACAATGATCAATACGATCAGAGTGAAATGCAGCCATCGGAGGCTCCTGGGAAAGCTGTCATCTGGCATTTAGAGCAGAAAGAGGCAGCTGCCCATTGCTTCTCAGTTGTCATGTTGCTTTGTCATGAGTGAAAACTTAGCAGTGAAGCTATGGTGAAAGCCAACACCTTCCCCATCTGTATCTGTGGCAGATCCAGGAGAACAGGAGCCAGGACTCAGACCTGCCCAAGACAACTCTAAGACAACTCTTAGCACCAATGACAGCACAAACTGAGCCCCTTTCTAAGGAAGCTGCACAGAGACGTTCTTCAAGAAGTCTGGCGTGGCATTTGATGGGAAGACATAACAGGTATGTGAACTAGGCGTGCCTTTTGGACACGACGAAATGTGCCATTCCTGAACAGCTTGTGACCAGTTCCGCAGAACTTCTGGAATCCATGCTTGTCCTGATCAAGAGGACCCTAAGGAAACTTCAGCGTTTGAGTGTGCTTTGTCCCGTTACCTCCGGGACTGCATGGATGAGCGACTGAGAGCAATTAGGAGTGTGGAGCAAACTGCTGCCCACTTACTCCCCCTGCAGCTGCTAAGGCATTGTGAAGAAAGCTATGCCGATCAAAGAGCTTGTTGGAAGTTTATAGTTTGTTTTCAATGAATCTTTCTCTCTTCCTATGGCTTTTTCTTTTCCTTAATCCTTACTAAAAATTGAGATGAGTTGCTCATGTAGTTTGGGCTGGCCTTGAACTTGTGATCATCGTGTCTCTGCTTCCTGAGCATTTGGGTTTTAGGTGTGTGCTACCATGTTGAGTCTCACAGCTCTCTTTAAATATGGCTGTAAATTGCTTGTTAATATGGAACAGATGGAAAATAGTCAACTTTAGGCTATTGAGTGTGTTTATTCTTCATTCTTTATCTATTTGGAATGTGTTCTCTCTCTCTCTCTCTCTCTCTCTCTGTGTTTTCATGCACGTGTACATTGTGAGTGAGAGAAACTTAATGCTCTAACCCTATTTCTCAAATGCAACAGATCATATACCCATGTCTATTCTGCAGGTAAACTGAAATTCTGCATTTCTAACAGGGTCCCAAATGATATGGGACTTGCTATTCTGTGGGCAGGTAAAGCAGGAATCTCCAGGCTGTGTCTCTGTCTCGAGGAGCTTATGAAGAATTCGCTAGTGGCAATCACACTTTGCAGTGATAATCTCCAAATCCAGCTCTTTGAAATGTATAACTCTGTTAAGAGCAGTTGGTCAGAGAAGACCTCTCTGTCCTTAAGGGAAGTCTTAACTACCAAATGGACGAGTCCAACAGGCTAGCATTGATGGAGTCAGACCTGGAAGGCTGAGACCAAGAGCCCAGTGGTAGACATGTGATGGCTGTTCTGATGAGCTATAGGTAGATTTGCTGATGGGCTAGATGTGGAGGTGTATGAAGAAAGGTTGAGTGGTGTTCCTATTCCCTGAGCAGAGAGGTGTGGGGGAGTCCGGGTGGGTGGGTGAGTGGCTGAAGAGACTGAGGAAAGGCATGTGTGTATGTGTGTTTTTAATTTTATGGTGCCTGTGAGGCTGGAGACTAGGCCAGAGTATGAGGTCCAGAAGGCCTTGTCTAAAGCCTTATTGGATATTGAATAAACAAAATGTAAACAGTTCACACAGAAGAAGGCTGGAAAAACCCTATGTGATTAGAACTGGCCACTGTTGAAGGCACACTGTCTCCAATCCATTCAGCTGTGCACAAAATCTCTGTGCCATTGGGTGAAGAGTTCAGACACTAATGAGGCTCCTAAGGATGGAGTGGTAAGGAGAACCATGTAACAGAGCTTAAGTGAGATGGTCCATGCCATGCAAAGGAGCCCACAAAGTCCTAGTCCATTGTGCACTAGGCACCTCTGAGCTCCTAAGCAAGTTCTCTGCTCTGGCCAGCTTCCCTGTCCTTTCTCTTAACAAACCATCTCTGGTTCCATTGCAACTATGCGTATTTGCTTAGTTCTTTGTTTGTAGACACAAGAATCTGGAACCAATCTTGAAGTGCCCTAGGAACCCTGATATCAGCCAATATAAGTTCCACATTCCAAAGACTGGCCCTCATAGGCCATAGATATCTGGAAAATCCTGGTGCAGGAGATGAAGGCTGGCTTACTGTGTGTGGGTGGCATTACATCGTCTTATTTAAAGATCATGACGGCCTTATGGATTCACAGTTACTGAAAATGCACTTAGAAACTGCTTTTGCTAACAATTGTTGATTCCCCACTTGGGCCCACAAGGTAACTAAAAGCAAGGAGTGAGAGCCTGGACTCACTGACTTCATTTTTTTATCTGTAGCTAGCTTAAGGCTTAGAGTAAGCAATGGTCCTTATCCTTCCTCCTGTGTCATTTTGAACTCCAGGAAGACCAAAACCTCTCAGATGAGGACAATCATCCATGAAGATGAGGCTGTGTCCTTACAAATATCAGATTCACAGCTTAACATCGTACTGGGCCACTGGGCAGAATGAAGCTGAGATAATGGTAGGACAGTGATGGTCAGGATTGCAGCTTGACCAAGACTCCTTAACACAGCATACCTCTTGCCCTTTATTAAAACATTAATTTCATTTATGCCTGGGTACATACACATGAACAGTTCCTTTGGAGAAAAGAAGAGGGTGTTGGATTTCCTGGGGTAGTTACAGGCAGTTGTGAACTACCTGATGTGGGTGCTGGGAATCGAACTCTGGTCCTCTTCAAGAATAGCAAGTGTTCTTAACCACTGAACCATCCCTCTAGCCCACCATGCCTTCTTTGTAAACTGCTTGTTTGTACCCTGGACCCTGTGTCTGTTTCTTGTCCCACCATGGCCACTTCACTCTGCCTTTTGCCATTATGCATCTATCTGGTTGCCTTACTGGGGATGGGTGGCTAAGCCTGGCCCACTGGAACTCCTAGTGATGTCAATATTTTCATTTTAGAGATGGGTAGAAAGCATCTACTCAGTATCTCAGGGTCATATGCTCTCAAAGTTGAGTCCAGAGCAAGGCTTGCCGAGGCCCGGATGTCCAAGGCAGAGACCATCAGGTCCACTGAAGAAGACAGCCAGCAGACAGGTGACCACAGAGATTAGACTCAGCATGAGGGGCTGGCTAGACTTGCCACCTGAATGGGCAAGTTTAATTATGTAACTGGTGGCTTAATCTTTGCAATATTGAACTCTGGTGCTGCTAGTTGAATCCAGCTGGCAGGCGCATGGTTGTACATAGACCTGGACCAGGATGGCGCTGCCTGATTCTGCCTGCTAACTGTGTGTCTGCCAACACATTGCTAAGAGCTCAGCCGGTGGTTGCACCATTTTTCTGTGTGATGGTGAAGAACCCATGAACGGAAGTTTCCGGACAAAACAGTCACGCCTCTGTTAAAGGCTCAACAAGGCTGGTCAACCGACTAATCTCTGTGATTGCGGAGTCAGTTCTTAGAGATGTGGAGTCAAACTGTCTTGGATGGCTTTTAGCCCCCTTAGTAGATATTTATCATTCTCCTGCGTTTGATCTCATATCCTTGGGACTGTGAAGCAAAATCCTATCTAGAGTGTACAAAAAGACCCCCATCTTCCACCAACCGGAAGGTGAAGGATGTCTTCAGATATTGAAGTCAGCTGAGGCTTCCATGCTTTGCTGTAATCTACCTAGCAGATATCCCTACTAGTTTAGTGTGTGTAAATGTGTGCATGTGCATGAGTGTGTATGTGTGTATACAGGTGCCCATAGGCATGAAGGGGGGCATCAGATCCATTGGAGCTGTGGTTTCATGAGCTGCCTGATGTATGCACTGAAATCCAAACTCTGCCACTCTGATAGTGCAATCAGTCCTCTTAACCGCTGGCCCAACTCTCCAGCCCCCATAGAGCTTTTTATCCCCGTGTGTGTGTGTGTGTGTGTGTGTGTGTGTGTAGGTGTAGGTGTAGGTGTTGTGTGCTTGCACATGCACATGCATGTTCTTATATGTGCATGTACAGATGGGTGTGTGGGTTTGAGTGCACATATGCACATATGTGCCAGTGTTTATGGAATCTGGTGTGTCAACCTCTGCTGTCATTCCTCAGGTACCATCCATTTTTTAAAATGTGGATTCTGGACATTGATCTCCGGTCCTTGTGCTTTCAAGGCAAACACTGATTGAGGTATTTCCTACCCCCCCACAGTGGTTTCTGAGTCTTAACAATCTACGAGAATGACTGGGATGTGTCCCTCTCTCTGACTGGCACCACTGGCCGCCTGATCAGGCATGTCAGCTGTGGCACAAAGCCATGTGCAAATGGTCAGGTTTTCAGGTCTAATCCGGGTCAGTGGAGGAAAACCCGATTCACAAAAGGCTGTAAGCAACCCCCAAGCCATTTAACGGCCACGCCTATAGGTCTGAGAACACGCTGGAGTCAGGGTGGAGGCAAGCAGAGCCAGATCTTTGGAATTGCCTGGAATGGACACCTGCCTTTCTTCGAGAACACCAGACTCTTGCCCAGGTCCCACTCCAGAGCTATCAGAGAATGGGAGGGGTGTGAAAGGAGTGGACACAGCCCTTGGGGCTCTGACAGTGTGCTCAGGTCTCAGCAGGGTAGTCCTCACTCACCACTGTTGCTGCGTGTCCTGAGATCAGACCCGTCTCCTGGTCCATCAGCCTCTTCAGGAACCTCCACAAGCTCTGATGCCTTGGAGGAAATGGGAGACAGCACAGAATAAGCCAGTGAACCATGATGTATCATGGGCCAACTGAGTATAGAACTTTAATGCCAGTACTGGAGCTAAAGAGGGATTTGCATAGCACTTTCTAAGTTTCATCTGTTATATATGGTCCCTTACTGACAGACATGTCCACACAAACTCATGCACTTTGGCATGGTTTTTATTTCAATCACATTTAGCACCCTTTCTATGGGGAGTCTTCTGGTAGATGAATTAACATCACCGTTTGAATTTCAAATGAGAATGATGTCCTCCTCAGAAGGTCATCAGGTCATGTCACAAATTCTAGGAGCCTGAGGAGGGCTCACTTGGTGGTTGCTGTGTGAGCATGAGAACTGAGTCTAGATTGCCAGCACTTACATAAAGACCAGGCGTTGGGGATAGGTGCTTATAACCCCAGTGTTGGGTGGGGACACTGGGACAAGCAGACTAGTTGAACTGGTTTCAGGGTTATCGAGAAACTATATGACTAAAAAAAGGTGGCAGGTGAGAGAATGATAGAGGAAAACACCTTAACCTTGACCTCTGGCCTCCACATGCATGCACACACATATGTATACCCCCACATGAACATTAGCATACACTGAAGCACACGGACAATGTTACAAGTAATACCCTAAGTGCCCTGAGACAAAGTGTACTTGAGCCAAACACTTCGATTTTGCTATCAAATCCTTCAGTGCTCACATGAAATAGCCATTATAGTAACCCTAACACAGTTGTTCCGCTCTTGTTCTTAATGAAATAGAAGGAGATACATGTCCTTCTGAAACACTACACAGTGATTTCTTCTCTACTAGTTCAGTCTTTAGAAACAACTGAACCAAAGAGTGGGGAGCCCTTCCTCCTTAGTGTCCCCTACAGTGCTAGCAAACTATCCACGACTATTCACCCTTACCAAGTAGAAGACAAACCTGAACAGTATCAATGTTATGCATAAGCTAGGACAAAAAAAAGGATGGAAGTTATTTTTCATTTTTTAAACTGTCACCTTTCTTCTTGAGAATTTCATTCGTGTAGACAATGAAACATGATTATGATTTTATTTTTCTCTTGGGAGTCAGTAGAGGGACAGAGCTGTCAATGACTTTAAAGATGGCTTTTTAGAAATTGTGTGGCATCAGAAGACTCTCTAGCCCCACATGTCTGATCTAAATTCCTACTCTCTACTGCTGGACACAGGAACCCATACCTGTTGATACTAAGCTTTGAGCTCAACAATTCCTTGAAGTTGGGTAGCCAATGAGTTTGAGGGACCTGCAGTCTGCCCCGCCCCTGCTGGGGATACAGGCACACAAGCTGCACTGGCTTCTACATGGGTTCTTGCAATCTAACTTGGGTCTTCATGCAAGCCCGCTAGTACTTAGCCAACCAAGCCATCTCCTCCGCTTCCCACCCAGACATTTGATGGAACTGAAGATGAGGTCAATTACCGAGGTTCTGGGGGGTGAGTCAGAACCACTGCCTGAGCTGCCCTTCTTCGTTCTCTGGGCCAGGGAAGTGCCAAATCGGAGGGCCTCATACACGGGGTCCACCTTATTGCCACACGCTGAAAAAGAAGAAAAACACCCATCTCAGGGAGCCCAGCTGACCCAAGAAGCAAGATTTCTGCCAAAGAGCCTTGGGGACCTGCCCAGGGGGCTTGTGTGTCCACTCTGTCCTAATGGGCAAGGGCTCACATCAAACACCCTTGCTCACTAGTGGAACTCTACATGTCCAGCCAGAACTGCGGTCCATACCATCCTGCTCGGGTTCTCCCAGGAAACCTGACGTGTCTGACTGGAACTCTGCCCCTGAGGTGTTCCTGAGTGGGTAGTTTTTCTCTTTATTATTCTTGCCCGTTTTTCTCTTTATTATTCTTGCCCTACACCATGGTGTTTTTTTCTTAGGGACCAGTTTGTTTTCCATAGTGAGAAACTCTGATCACCAAGATACTTAGTCTTGAGAGGAAAATTTTGAAGTAGGGACACAAGTGTTCCCAAACAACCAGCCATCATACATTATGTTTCCAATGAAAAGCTGTCTAGATTATCATTTCTTGTTTAAAATCCATCCAACTAAAAAGGCCGAGGTGTGGATGTGTAGAGGCTTGCAGGTACAGAAAAGAAAACAAGCAAAAAGCAACCCAACCAACTGAAACAACAAATAGAAGCCAATTAAAAGATAGCAAGCATGAAAGAAGCTATTCATACCATATCTGTGGAGAGCACTTCATTAAATAGTGTCATTTGCTGAGTTTCTACTCAGCATTGATATGCATGTTACATTACATATGTACTATTACATATTATATATATTGTAGTAGGTATTCACTTCTGATGATGTGACCTCTTAAAAGGAAAGGGGGAGGAGCTCGAGTTTTCTTGGGAGGTGAAGACTGGGTCAGGTGCGTGAAGCAGCGTATTCAGTCTACAGCTCTCCAAGGACTCTGTAACTGGATTTACCATATCCTGTATTGATGAGTATATTTTTCCCCTTTTCATATCTTAAGTCCTTGTTACCCCTTAAATAGATGCATGTGGATTTTTCATTATAATATATACTATGTATAAAATTATGTGTATACTATATAAGTATATAAACAATTGTGAAAAGTGGTGACCACTGACCCTATCTTAGAGCATATGGCAGAGAGTTCAATGGCACTGTTGATAAATGGGGAGCTGACTCGGCACCAGGGCTGCAGGGTACCATGCTCTATGAGGATGACGGAGGGGATGTGTTGCTTTGATGTTGATGGTTGGACAAATGTGTTGTCTTGTTGCTGAATGTTTGCAAAATATGGCGTCTACTTTTGAGACTGCTATTTTAAAACTCCATTAGGGGGAATGATGAAAATGTTTTCTCTCCAGCAAGATAAGTAGAGCTAAAAAGCAAACTACTACCCAGATTGCCGACACTATCCCACTGACTTTGCAGCACTTATAAGGTTACTGTTGTCACTGACATCTCAGTACATCTCTGTCCCAACTTACCAATGGGCATGACTTCTTTAATGCATCCAAACTGTTCATGAATGAGCAAAGGGGAGCTGTAGTAACGCCGAAATCCCTTTGGCTGGAGAGAGAATGAAGAAGAGAGGGGTTAATGTCAGACAGGAGATGGAGGAAACCAAGCAGGAGTCTTAAGAATAAAGCTAGTTGTTGCCTTTCTTTAATGTACTGACATAGCCTGTGAATGCTCTGATTCACCACTGATGGGAAAGCAGAGAGAGGAATAGATGGAGGTGAGCAAGCTAATGTCCCATCTAGAAGGCAAGCTCTTAGCCTTCTGGCCCTGGCCTCTTCTACTGGGCCCTATAACTTCACTACATGCAGAACCCCCAGCCCAGGACACATACATCTCCCAGTTCTCTACCATGGCTTACTGGGGGTGCTTCACATTGTAACAGCCTACACAGGGAAGAACCATCAACTTCCCTCTCTAGCTGCTTCTGTGTGTTTCTGACCTGTGGTCTTTTCCTTTGGCTGGTGGTAACTACCTTTGGAAACACAGAGGGGAACAGATGCGATAGGAAATTAAAAGGAGAGGACATTGCAAGCCAGAGTCACTGTGTGCCCTTTCTAAGAACCTAGATTTGATATACTCCAGGGTTGGAAGGTAACTTGGTGACCTGGTCCCCACAGGCATCCATGAGTCCTCACACATGTTCTTGCAAGTGGTACCCATGCTTGTGTGATCATTGCTAGAGACTGGGGTTAGAGGCAGCCCCCTATCCTGAAGGCAGGTCTTTGGTGGCATTGCATCTGGCATTGTCCCTGCTTGTCACAAACTTCTCCTTACAGGTAGAAAAGTCCTCAGAATTTCTTCCTGGGCTGGGATTAACAGTTTCTGGAGACTGTTGCTAATTCTCTACAGTAGACATTGGTACGATACTTGGTCACTCTGGTTTCAGTGACCTTCAAATGTGTTCTGGGGTACACTTCTGAGATGGTCTGAGCAGAATGTGCAGACTGTGAGATCACCTTTAGCTTGGCCAACGTGACTGTCAGTCACAGGGACACTCAGGCCAGAGGGTTAGCTTCCTTCTTCTCTCCACCCCCACTCCAATAACAGCTAATTAAATACCTGGTAACCTAGTTGTGGCAAAGCACCCTGGTTTGCATGGGCCGATGGGGGCTCTTGTGATGTTAATTTTCACTCTGAAAACCTGAGTTGTCCCAGGCAGAGAGAAATGAAATGCTACAGCTGAGAAGGCCCCACCCGAGAGAAAGCTGGCACTCTTTGAGGATTGGACCCCTTTCCAGTGTAGGGCATCTGTTACAGAGATTGATGTATCTCTTCGTTCCTTCACTGTGCCAGTGAAGCTGAATGGCAGGCCAGCACATCTGAGGATGCTTCAGAACCCCTGAGGAGTTTAGAGGGTGTGGCTTCCCTAGGACAGACTCCTAGGCTCTGGGCAGAGTGTTCCGGGGCTCCGTCTGGCACCAGCCCTTACCAGCTTGCCCATGCACCGCTGGGGTGCCAGGCCGTCTGCACACTTGTGATGGATGCTCATCTTGCAGGCTCCGCAGCGCAGTCCATGCTTAGCGTGTGTTCCTGTCAGGCACACAGCAAACTTTGGTTAGGTCCAGCTTGTCCTTTCCTGTGGTCTGGTCTGAAATCCCTGAAAAGGGGGATACTTCTAGCCAGTTAAGTCTTCTCTGGGATTTCTTTGAGGAAACTTGAAGAATGGAAAATTTGACATCATGTATCCTTTCCCCCACCCTATGTTTCCTGTTTAAGGTATCCACTCTGGTGTCTCCCTCTTTCTGTTCATGACGTTAGCAAATCGGAGCCACCCACGCTTTCTGTGTCGTAATTTAAGTTAGCAAAATCCACGTTCTTTGCTGTTCAAGTAAAACACCCTTCTCTTTTGGTCCTTACCGCGTCATGTTGTTCCTGGCATCTTTCCCGTTCTCACCTGCTCACAATGATGGGGAAGTGTGGCGTGAGTTGAGGAAGCTTGCAATCCCTCATGCTCATAAGATATTTATTAGCCATGAGGCTTTCTTTCAGTCCTCTGGACACATCAGCTCTTTAGTCCCCCAGGGTCCTTGCATGCACTGCTTTATATACCTACAATGCTGTCCTGTCTCTCTTTACTTGGCTAGTGACCCCTTCATGCTTTGACTCTGGCATTTATACCAAGCATTTCCCTTCCTCTGTCCAAATATTTTCTTCTCTTTTCCCCTTCCTTATATCTCTCTCCCATCCCCTCTCTCCCTCTTTTCCGTTGTCCTCTCCTCTCATCCTCTTCCCCCATCCTCTCCCTTGCTTTCATTCTGTTACTCTGATGCTTCATGTTCTCTCTCCTCCAATTCTGCACCATCTCCTTTTATCTTCCCCTTCCTCCTCCTTCACACTGGAGATGAACCCCGGAGTCTTGCCCATGCTAGGTATGCACTCAAGTTGCTGAGCCACAACCCAGCCCTCCTGAAGTTCTTTCTTATAGAACCGTGTGATTATCTTTTATAACACTCATCATAATTAGCAATGCGTATTTACTTAAAAGCTTGCTGTCGTCTTCCTTTCCCCCTGGAGGGTGAACTCAGGGAGCCCAAGGATGATGTGTGCTGGTTTTCTGCTGTAAACCTTGCCCTGTACACAATGCATTAAATAACTAATGAGCAAATTTCTTCATAATCACAGCACATGGTGAAGTAACAGAGGCTGATCTCAGCTACTTCATGGAAGCAGATTCCTCAACATTGTGGGAGCATTCAAAAGCTGAAAGGGGAAGTGGAGTTCTAGCTGCATTGCTTAATTAAAAAAGAAATGGGTCCTCAGGGGATATGGTCTGTCCCAAGGCAATAGAGGTCTCACCTTGTTCCATTCTTTCACAGTATGCCTTAAATACCTCCTCCCATTTTTGCAGTATTGCTTAACATGTATGCAGATGAAGTTGGGTTAATTACATGGTATAACAAAGAAATACAAGTGTCCATAGTTCATCTGGTAAAACTGATGGGTACGTCCCTGAAATGGATGAAGGATCAGAAATCTTTTGGAAGATGTTCCCTGGAAAGTTCTTTTAGGAAGCACCATTTAACAGAGGACCTGTCTCTGAAGACAAAGCTTCTCCCTTCTCTCTCTCTCTCTCTCTCTCTCTCTGTTTCTGCACTCCCCATAAACATACACACACATACACATACCATGAAGGCACACATTACTTGTTTATATACAGTGACAGAAAAGCCCCCTCACAGTTTCTGAGAAAATCCCTCAGGTAGCACATGCTGTTCTTTCCAAGGCTGGCCTTGGGAAGCAATGACTCCATTTCACTTCAGAGCCTGCTGTTTGTGCCTAGGTGGGAAGGTAAGCAGGATCTTCAAAGGGAAATTGCTTCGCTGTGAGCGGGCATCTGAAATGCTGTCATTATAAATGATGGTATATTTTCCTTCATCTATATATCTCCTTTCCCTGGCTCTGGTTTCCCAGCCTGCTTTCATACTGTGCTGCTTGGCATGAATCAGACTCCCAGCAATTACTCAGTGTTAGGTGTTCCCTCTTCCACTGTGCACAGACCAGCTCCGCTGGAGGCTGGGGGGGGAGTGGGGCTTTACTCTCAACTTCAGAGAACAGGGAGGGAGTGGTTTGGATCACGGCAGTGGTCATGGTTTATTCTAGAAAGATTTCGAGAAGGCCTGGTCTGACTTCGTTCTGCTACTCCTGCCGTCCATCACCAGTGCCTGGCTGTATGTTCCCCTTATGTCCAACTAGAGAGAAATACTTAGTTTTGAATTTTAATATGTCCACATTGGCTCTTCAGACTAAAATCTGCCACCATAGATTTCTGTTTCTTTAACTACCTTCATCTTCAAAGGAGAGCCCTCTCTCCACAGGGCTGCTAACAGAACAGGGTCACAATGGGACGTCCTTTGACCTGTGAAAAGGTTATGTCCTAAGCAGATAATCATAAATTGAAAACTGTGTGAGTCAGAAGTGCCCTGGAGGGGGTAAAGGTGAGGCTTAGCTGCTCAAGGGCTTGCCAAGCGTGAGGGACTGAGCTCAACTCCAGAGCCCACATAAAACAAACAAGCTAGGTGTGATGGTGTGTGTCTGTAATTCTGATGGAGGGTTCCATGGTCACCTAGCCTAACCTAGTTGGTGTGTTTCAGGCCAGTGAGCAACCCTGCCTCAAAAAACAAGGTAATTGTGCCTGAGGAGCCATACCTGAGAATGTCCTTGGCCTCCACAGGCATGTGTACCCTTGTGTGTCTGTACACTCACAAGCATGCACAAACACATACATATATGAACTGCACTTAATATTCCTACTCTGCTCCACACCATAGCTCAGAAGAGTGTGATGTTCAGAACCACCTGCTCCCCCTGTCTAGGTTGGAGCTCACTGCTGCCCAGCTTCTTGAGACAATGTTTTACAGTTATACTGGTAATTAGCCTGGGCTATGATCAAAATTTGGGGTACAGATTTTACTGAATGTGTACAGATTTCTCATCATAAAACTAAAGCCAGGAACTTAAGCATATAAAAGGATTTCACAGGACCTGGTGAGATAGCTCAGTGTATAAAGGTACTTGCCATCTAGCATGACAACATGAGTTTGGACTGGCAGAAGGAGACAGCTGACTCCTGCAATTGTTGTCTGACCTTTACATACAAGCAGGGGGTACACACACCCCTGACACACCAAATAACCAACCAGACAAATAAATTAAGGTTATTTTTTTTAAAGAAAGGAGTGTGTCAGTTTAAATAGTTAGAAACAAAGATGTTACTGGTTTTCAGGTAAATAGTATCACATTGGTACAATGCACTTAACCATGTCAAAGAAACTAAAAATCATCAATAAGAAGAATAGAAGTGAGTCTAATACTTACTTGGAAGAAAGGAAGCTAATAAACACATGGCAAGCAGTTTAATAAAAGACACGGATGCAGGATTTCCACAATGGTAGTTTGGAAACCAGAAGACCACAGAACCTCAAAAAGAGTCAAATCCTAAAGTTCTGGCAGAAAATTATTCCCAACTAAATGACCAAACATAAGTGATAGCAGGACAGATATTTTCTAAAATGTAGATCTTTCTTTAAAATACTTCCTTTGCATGTGCTCATCCTTAAAAATTGACTACTGTAGAATGTGCCCTAGAAAGATGATAGAGTAAGTTAAGAAATTAAAAACCATTAGGTGTAATGTAGAAGAGACATGGGGTGGAAGTTGGGGCTCCCATACAGCTCTGTGGTAGCCCAGGCTGCAGCTGCAAGATGATGTAAGAGGGTAGGATGAAGAATGAAACAAAGGAAATAGAAGTTTAATGATTTTGATTTTATAACAGACATAGCATTTGAAAGATCTGTGGGAGATTTATAAATTACAGAGATGGGAAAAGTGAAGGGAGTAGAAAGGGCATTCTTTAATTTGAGGGGAAATGAAATGTGTTTAAGAAAGAAATGCAATCATAGTGAAACATTTGAATTAGAAAATATCAGTGATTAGTCATGGTGCCTAAACTGACCTTCAGACTTACACAAAATTGTGATTTAACTGTTGTTTGGAAAGGGCAGAACGAGGGAGACCAAGGCAAGTGTGTCTGGTGGCCCGAGAGATGAATCCTTTTCTACAGCAGAGAGTCACTGGACGATTAATCAGTACAAACAGCAGAAACATGTCCCTGAGAACTATGGATGCAGAGGTCACCAAAATGAAGACATGATGGAGGGCGCCTTCCGGAATCTGGGAGGAGCTGGTTTCCACTGTGGCTCTTTTCAGACCATCTCTCTTGAACTATTCTCTTGTACTAAAATGAAGACGTGATGGAGGGCGCCTTTCAGAGTCTGGGATGAGCTGGTTTCCACTCTGGCTCTTTTCAGACCATCTCTCTTGAACTATTCTCTTGTACTAAAATGAAGACGTGATGGAGGGCGCCTTTCAGAGTCTGGGATGAGCTGGTTTCCACTCTGGCTCTTTTCAGACCATCTCTCTTGAACTATTCTCTTGTACTAATCATGACAAAAGGCAGATAGAGGAAGGGCCGGATGACTCAGAGGGCAAAGGGGCTTGCAGCTCAGCCTGATGACGACTCAATACCCAAGACCTATATAGTAGAAGCAGAGAACCAATTCCTGCAAAGTGGTTCTCTGATCTCCACATGAACGTACACACACATGAACGTACACACACATGAACGTGTACACACACACACACACACACACACACACACACCTGTTTAAAAAAAATGAAAGATGGAGTGTCTGGAAGCAAGACCAAGGTACCTGAAAGTGACTAATGCTGTCTGTCACTTTATCACTTAATTCATCAGTTATTCCTTGGACTTTTGAAATTCTAGCATGAACAAAGACAGTTTTAGGAGTCACAAGTGGTAATTATTATTATTTTTTTCATAAATGAAATTTTTTGTTAAAATTTATTCCAAAATATTCCATTAAAATTATCTCAAGAAAATCTAAATTTGGCTGTGAGATTTTCATGCCATCCTCAATTTAGCTATGAATTTGATTTTTTTCTTTGCTACTTATGTTCTTTTTTTCCTCTCTTCTCTTTTTTTAATTTGAATTAGAAACAATCTTGTTTTG